CTAATTCCCCTGACTTATCCCCCTAATCCCCTTAATCCCCCTCTGCAGTATGCAATATTCAAATGACCCCACTAATTACCAGTCGGTTTTCAGCGGTCTCCTCTTAAACACTCTCCTCTCTTTTTCCCCCGAAAATCACGTGATTCCTCTGGAAGCCTCTCATTCAAGGCAATAAATACTGGCTGGCCTAAAGGGAGATCTTCTTTTGTGGTTTCCCGATTCGTTAGTCATTACGAGAAGTGATTTTACTACTAAAAACAACAGCGTTGATGAGGGGGTTTCACTCCCACTGTTTTGCCGGACGTTTATTGGATCGCTTCGACATCAAATTCTCGACCTACCTTCCCTAGGTCGTGTCTAAACATAGCGAAGTGACTCAGCTTAATAAGCTGCAAGGTTTTTTTTTTTTCATGTCTTTAAAAGAGGTCAGGGTCTGAAGCCCTCAGTTGGCACACCCCCACCAAAACTTCGCGGAAGGCGCCTCACCTTAGCCCCTCCCCTCACACTCAGAACAGAAAAGCTACATCAATGGGAAAATCATCTAGGGAAGCAAGAGTACGAAAAAAAAGATGGCCTAAATTTTTCAGCCCATGTCACAGACGCTTTCTCGATGGCTGACCAGAAACGCCTGCACAGGGGTCTGTGCCCGTCTCTCACACATTTTCTGTCGGCTATGAGGTCTACCAGATTATGATTCAGACGAGTATAAGGTGTTTCTGGTTTTGAGAGAAATTCTGGGTACTTTAGGAAGTGTTACGAAAATTCTATTTTAAGATCAGTAAATGTGTTCTGGTGGCTCGCTGTTTAAGAAAGAGCATTACACCCTGTAGTTCTCAGTACTGCTAACTAAAATGTTTTTACAAACACTGGAAAACTCCAAGGCATTGGGTCCTATCATATCACACAAACAAAGTTTTACAAATATTATCATATCCTTAGACTTAATGGTCAAACTTCTGTAAAAGAATATTACCAACTCCAAAATCAACCAGTATAAAGTTTGATCAGCAGATCTCCCTGGTTAAAACCAAGGAGTTTATATTTAACAGAATCGCACATCCTGAAATTTAAGTAGGTTTTTCCTGCTGCGCCTAGATTAACTATTATTATCATTTACGTGAGGTGAGCGACACGATTTCTGAGAAGCGCTTACACATCTTATGAACACATTATCGCACATTTGTTGACTTAAACCTTGAAATCGTCTGTGTTAAGCATTTTGGAGACATCTGACGGTATTTTCTCTCACTGATGCAACACTGAAGTCGATCAACTAGCAACACAATGTTTTGGAACGTGTTGTTGTTGTTGTCGGTTTATGTCTTAACACATTTTGCTTTCGTGAATGGTGATGTTCAAGGTATGTTACTTGGGTTATGATTTTATTTTGGCTTTAGAGACACACTTTGTTCGGTTCATCAGGGGAAATTTTTTCGGTTGTAGAGGGAGATAGTTGCTTTCGTAAGGTACTGTTTAAGTAATCAATTGTAGAAGCAGGAACTGGGTTAATCGTGAGTTGTTGTTACCGTTTCCCTTTTTGAACGTTAACCAAACTGACCTTGGAGGGTATGAATGGCTCTTTAAATGTTTGTAGAACATTTGCACATTCCCAAATATTACAGTAGTTGAGTAACGCGCCATGAGTCTAAAATCATTTTGGTTAAAACATAGGTCATTGTCAGATTAACGTCGTTGAGTGAAAGGGATCCGATCGCATCACAGCTAGTTGATTCACATTACGTGTACAGTTTACTTGCAGTAAGGAGCGTCTTCTTTTGCGGTTTTATCGCACCTTTTCCCTGACCATTTTAGCTGACAAAAGAACTCACATATACCTTATTCAGTTTGGCTTTGCTCTGGATTCTCGTGTGGGAATCCGTTAAGTTTTAGTCAAATATTATGTCACCGATGACAGCAGTTAAAATTTTGGAGCTTTCGATTTAACTTACTACGAATTCGCTGAAACTCGAGAAAATCTCCGAAGGGGAAACAAATCGGAATCTCTAGTGTATTAAGTGTATTTTGCGGCGCACGAAAGATGGAAAGGAAGTCACGAATATATTGAAATAGAAAATTAAAATAAGTGATATGCCGCATGGATGTAGTTATTTATTTCTGTTTATTCAGGGGATCGTAAAGCCACCCTAAGTAAATGTGTGAAAAAAGTTAATAAAAATGTGATTAAATTAAGGAGTCAAAAAATAATTAAATAACCCGCCCCGTTAGCTCGTGTTACCTCACCATTTTTACAAGGTTGGTGGAAATCAGTTCAACCTGGTGACAATTCTTCTTAAGAGAAAAGAAAGGCCTGCTAATCGGTGCGAAATCAGTCACAATTTGCAGTGTTTACTGTCTGAAAAATGAACATATTCAGGGGCAAATCCTAGAATTACTGGGTGGGGTGGGAAGGGAAGGGAGTCCAGATATTGAATACATAATATTTTTTCAATACGGCCTAAATAAGCTTAGAAATACTTAAGGATAAGCATATATTAAATATTTCAAGTCCAGTAGTAATATTAGTAATATGTGATCCTGTCTTTGGAAGAATATTGGTTTCAGACACGTGATAAAAATATCCACAGGTCTCATGGGAGGGGCAAATTCCAGCCATCCCTACCCCCTTTCTGACTGTCCCCCTGATGTGATGTTTATTGCTTGCTTGTTTGTATTGTTTTTCTGTTTAGCGAGAACTTGTGCCCAGATCCCTGTAAATGCTAGGCTGTCTTGTGGAAATGTCAACCAAACAGTTTGTGCCACGCTTGGTTGCTGCTGGAATGAACGCGAATTTAATTCTTCTGTGCAATGTTTTAAGAAAAGGTAAAACTAATCATCAGTTCTCACTTCTGACAAAGGCAAATTTTTAGAAATTGCGTGAAATAAACTAACAGCTGATTTATAGATTTGAATCAAAATTTGTTGGATAAAGCAAGTTTACGAGTTAAGTCCATGTTTTTATCCTGATTAGCTCTTGGGTTGATGAAAGTAATCGATCACTGATTGTTACTTTGTGGCCAATCGTTGCAAAAATGACAGATTCATTCACTCATTATTTTATCTGTAATTATGTGATAAATGTTTGTCAATTCAACAATTTATTTTGAGCTTGAATAAATTTTCCATTCCTTCCACAGTAACGACATATTTCTCATCAAAAATACCACAATTACCTGTGCCTATTACAAGGGCCAAGTTTGCAAAAAAGCTTTCTCTACAACTCTCTCTCAATTGAGCCACTTACCAAGACTTCACAACGTGGAAAATAACCTTGTTGAAGACCCTTTAAAAGCTACAGTGACGATTATCAATAAAACTGTCACGCATTCCGAATGCAGAGAATCGTTGATTGCCTTGCTGTGCCATCGCACTATGCCACCATGTCACACAAACAACGGCGTTACACAGCTCTGTGTCGGGGTTTGTAAAGAGTTGTTTTCAAAGTGTGGACATTATGTGGATCAACTAGAAACTGCCATGAATCGCATACCGGGTGGAATGAAGTCCGAACTGTCATTTCCAGGTTGTTTTGGGGTGAACAGCACCGACCAAAGTGAAGAAGAAAATGGGACATGTATTAAGCTTACCTTGGGTGAGTAAAATAGCGCTTATTCTAACTTTTGAGACAGACGAAGGCTGGTGGGTAAGGGGCTTGATCCTTTTTTCGTCGATTAAAATGTATTCAGAAAATAAAAATTTAAGTGAAATAAGTGTTTCTTTTTTTACTTCTTTGCTGATATTATCATCAGCGTTTGTCATTAACCCACAATGGCATTGGCTTCCTGAATGAATAAGTGAAAGAATGAATGAATGAATGAATGAATGAATGAAAGAAAGAACGAACGAATGAATAAATAAATGAAAAAAAAGGGGGAAAAAATTAATTAATTAATTAATTGATGGACACATAAGTGACCATTGTATGACTCACGAAGCTCTGTTGATATAGACCATTTTTTCTCTTTCGTAAAACTTTTCCCATTTTCAGATGCAAAACAGCCAATAAAAGTTCCTACGATCCATCCTACAAAAAGGCGCACTCCAGTTTTTGCAGGTATGTCCAAATGAATTATTTCGTGCTATTCTTGAAACTTACTTCCCACACTTCCAGTCATTATTTCTCACTAAGCGTTGATTTTCGCTCGTGATGTCCAAAGGGAACTATCTTTTTCCCTGTAAATGATACATTAGATCTCAATTCTAAATCAAGAGGTAACAATTTCCAAACAAGAAATAGGACTATTTTGAGAAACGTATCATGTAGAGTATTTTGAATCATGACTGTAAGTTGCACAAGAATGTAAAAGGCGTGGAGGCAATAAATGTTATATTTGCAATTTGGATATTCGCTGCAACCTACGCTTCATCGCTTGAGGTTTAATTCAACATGATATTTCTGGCGTTTTGCCATTTATGCATCACGCAAAATTTCTCCGTCGATCTTTTCCGTCCATATACCAACCTAGTTTAAGTTCCCTTCATGTTGAAGGTGATGTAATGCAGTTGTTAAATGGCTGAAAATAACGTGACATATCTACTTAGTGGCCTACTACTGACTACATGTGGGAGGCCATTACACACTCACCTCTTACAGGATATAAATTTATAAATGATGCTGTTTGAAAAACGAAATAGATATCGGATCTGGTTTGAGTTACACAGGGGGATATTAATGTCTAAGAAGACTTGAAGCATAATCGGGCTTGAGGTGATGACGTGACAGACAGAACGAGATTAGACAGATTTCTGTCTAATCTCAGCTGGTAAACGATACTTTCGATACTTTTTTGTCCTCGCTCTCGAATCCTTCATTAAACCCTCACGTTTTTTTAAATATTTTGATTTGTGAGGTCGTCCTCTGAGCGAGAAACGAAGGTAAACGTGGAACACAATTAATACCATGATAAAAATACAGGAGTTACGTGAAACTGTTTCGTAACTCCCACGTAATAAATTGTCATGTCTTCGTTTTTCGTTTAACTTGCATCCAGTCCTCCTCTCTTATTTTCGGTTGACTGATATTCTAGTTAGTCACTAACGATTTACATGCGAGCGTTTCCGTTCTGCGAACCGTCGAGTCATCACGCCACTTTGGAGCACGATTTGCACGTAGCTTTACTAATTTATCGGACGAAAATGGTAGAACTTTAATAACACATCTTTTTAGTGGATAAATTATCGCTACTGCGTTTAAGAAAAATATAGGACTTCGCAACTTCACGAACCGTAACACAATCAACTTCACAAATTTTCATCATCATTAACACACAGTATGGAAAAGATTTCGAGTCCAGTGGTTTTGTTTGTTGTTCTGAGCTTATTCATATGCGCTACCACTGTATCTGAAGGTAAGGTTTAAATTTTCTGTACAGATGTTGTAATTTGCGCTGGAAAGCTTTTTCATTGCGTAGCGAAATATGATAGATTGGTTGGGAACATGAGACAATATTCGTTTAACTTCATCGGTAAATGATCAATGGCTTTAAACTGCGAATTTTATTAACTAGTTATTTTGAAATCGTTTTTTAAAGAAAATATGAAATGTAAAAGTATGCTTCTTTGTGCCTTCATAGAACATAATATCAGTCCAACAGAGTAGACAAAACATGTGGCTTTATGTTTCGGCCGAGGCAATTTCTGACTTTCAATTACCGATTATTCCGCGAGTGCAACTTGCTCAAATTCCATCAGGGTCAAGTGAAGAAGACCGGTACCTTGAAAATTCAATGATAATTGTCTTTGAAAATAGAAGATGAATACTATTTTAGGACTTGATCATCTAAGACCGCTTTGTAAACAGTAGGCTGTCGGCGTCGCTCGATATTCGCGCTTGACTGACATGAATCGAAGTTACTCGAAACTTGCATGTTTTTTAACTGTAAGACAACGTAACTGTACATGAGTTCGCGAGTGACTTTGAAAAGAAAAAAAAATTAACGGAAGAATTAGTTGAAGCTTAATAGGTAAAATGGACAGGATCGACTATGTAAAAAGTGGTATATTAATCAAATAACGTAAGCGAGTAAAACTATTACAAACTAATCGTGTGGCACCAACTCAATGAGTATTGTTAAGCGTTAACTGGTTGTGTTACAACTTTTTCTCTATGGGAATACACCGAGATTTTGAAACCCATCAAGAATTCTTATATAAACTTTCAGTCATCTCAAGGTTGTGCGCGTTTTAAACAATATCATCCGTTGCTTCTTCGCCCAACTGGCATAGTTACCTCAACTTCGTCACCCTTGGGTAGGTTCGACACAACTTTTTAGTTCCTTTTACAAACAGAACTTTATTTTGCATAACAACAAGATCCTCGGGCAATAAAACACTGATTTATGCAGAATAACAGACACGTTGTTTTGTTAAATGAATTACACAATGAAGATCAAAACAAGCAAGGCTGTTTTGAAGTTGAAACGTGCATGAAAACTCAACTTCTTTTGGAGCTTTAAAACTCAGGCTAAGGTCACGTTTTATGAAGTGAAGCAAAATATTTCCACCGACAAAATCTCATATTATTACTGACAGATCTAGTCAAGTCTCTCTAAAAGGGTCGTCTCAAAGGCGAAGGGAAAGAGGCGACTATGGAGGGGTGGCAAAAATATGGATTGTCGGCTTATGTGGGCGGCTCGGCGAATTTTGTTACACCGTTCGTCAGTCAGTGACTTGCATGTTCTGGCCATTGTAGAGAGGTTATGAATGAAGTGAGGTATCACGTTAACGGAAAAAAAAAATGAACTGTGATTTGACTTACTTTTCGTATAATTCTTAGAAGTATGTTATAGAAAAAAAGTCAAAAATATATTATTCATCGTAAATTAAAAATATTATCACTTGCTTGCGAAACGACCAGATGCAGATGGCAAAAAGTACATTTTTTCTTGCCGGCTGCTGTTTACCGTAAACGTAATTTTAACTTCTCTGTTTTTGACATTGAGAACGCGTTTTATCGAATTTTTGCCGAAGTGGAGAGGTGTCTTTCCGATTAAAAGGCAATCCTGAAC